CTGTATATTGCTCTGCAAAGGCCAATTAATCTACAGGAGGGAGGATTTTATAGTTTAATGGCTAAAAAAAGGCTTAAAAACGCAGATGCCAAAATTGGAAAAACTTTGCAAAGAACTCCACCAATTACGATACATGTACATCCCGTTAATAGAAGCTTGATTTCTAAAGAAATGCTAAGTTCTCCGGCGGCAATGTACTATGTGCAAGAGCATCACTTTAAACTTAATTGCCAGTGGCCTTTTACAACATTAAAACATGCCAGAGGAAGATACAAAGATGATAAGTAAAGACAAACTGCAAACTCTGCTCCCCCCTCCCCCCTTAAAAGCATCAAAACTGGTTGAGTAAAAAAAAATTGTTTAAAGTTGGCCAAAAAGGAAGCTTCACAGCTTTAAAACATACACAGATTTAAAAAATCAGAGACTAGAAAGCAAAAACATTAATTACACCTTACGACTGCAGCAGAACACAGCAAATGCTTCTTTGAAAAGGTGGATTTTGAGGTTTGCCTTAAAATCAGTCAGAGTTTTAGCTTGTCTTCATGGTGCAGGCAATTCGTTCCAAAGCTGAGGGACATGGACCCCACTAGCTTTGTTGCCAGCAGTGACTTTTCTGGATCGTTTTCGTTCCAGAGTTGGAGCCGAACTTGATCTTGTTTGTCGTTGGAAACTGTTGGAATGGAAGATTCAGATAAACAGGACCAGTGCCCGAAACATATGGCCTTGACAGCAAAGTTTAAATTTAATCTGCTGCCGAATGGGGAGCCAGCACAGATGGCAGAGAACTGGGGAAATGTACTCGTATACATTCTTTTTAGTACCTGTACATATAGATGGGTAATTCCAGAAATTAGGGGTCCATTTTTTTTTCGTGTCCCTGTCACATCTGACATATGATTTTAGTTCAGAACACATTTTCTAAATTCCAAGAGTGACGAATTAATGCAAATTACCTGCCAAACAAATAGTTATACATGTAGTTTGGAATCAATTCTGCTGATATTTCCGTGTCAAACGTCAGATGCAACAGGCACACAAAAACGTAACACTTTTGGACCCCTAACTTCAGGAATTACCCAGCTGCTTGATTCTTTAGTTTCTCATACTGAGGATGACCAAAACACAAGGAATTACCGAACTACCGGTAATAGACATGTTTGAAAATCCCCCCCTCAAATGGAGTGCATCTCCCACTGACAGGAATGAACAGTTTCCATAAGCCCAGCCTGTGGCATCCAAGCTGCCAACTGTCACTATCAATCTTGGGGAGCCTACCGGTAGTTTCCTCCATTAATCTGGCCTGGACAATTTCCCACTCTTTTACTGTATTTCTGCGGCTTGATTGCCCCCTGGATGGCAGGAAAAGAAGCCCTTCCCCCCCTCGCCCGCACCAAGACTGATGACGCCATTCAAGTACACGAGCACACATACTGTTGCATTGAAAATGACGTTCACATGAATGGATACATTGGCGAGGATGATGGCCAATCCATCACACACACCCTCCGACAGCTTAATGCACTGTACGACAAAGGGCCTTGGGACCCATCCTCATTAAAAAAAAAAGAAAAAAAAAAGTGCAGGTCATTCTTTTCTTCGACGTGACTTCCGATTATTCCCTCCCCATCTCAATGTGTGACAATGGATAATCCAGGCATGATACATGTACATGTAGGCATACACTGATGTGCCACGTACGGCCACAGCATCACCTGTCCATGTTGACGACGTTCGCGCTGTTGCTGCTGTTCTTACAAGAACTGGTATGCATTTCAATGTATCAGGGAGAGCTGCCGCGTGTGCATTAGCATCCATGCAAATTCTCCCTTCTTTGAATGCCATGAACTACATCAACAAGTAGCAGTTGTAGGCAAATTTTAAGGGGAACCAAAAAACGTTTGTTTCCGGAAGTTCCTGTTACCTGACCGACCCAACTTGCACAGCGTGACCAGAAACCTTCTTTTTGGACAAGTAAAATGTAAAAAAAAAAAAATCCTGTTATCTTTACTGTCTTTACAAGGTACTCCCAACAACACGAGAACAGCCTTTCTATGTCAAAAGGGCGAGGAAAGAGCCACTTCACCGATCCGACTCCCGGTGCTCTTTACATATGCCTCAGACAAAAAATAAACAGGGTAGAAATCACCTTCATTGATTCCACAACCCATTACGCTTCATGCACAGTACATGCACAGTACATGTACATACATTGCAAGCTGGGCATCAGCTGAGTGCTAATTGTTTCGTGTAAACATCTGTCCCAAACTGTTTACACTGTATCATCTGGGAAGAATCAGTTTAAGACTAAGTTTTTGTGTTTGTTGAGAGGAAATTGATCAAGTCCAAGGCAAACTTTTATTAAGTCAGGTCTGACATGTCTTATCAAAGACAACATAATTAAGCCCCTTCTCTATGTACCCCAGTATGTCTTCAATTCATTGTCAAAGCTCCATGACAAACCAAACAAACAAACTTGCACTGACAATCAAACTGTCACTTGGAGTCACATTCCCCCCCCCGGACACCAACATGATCAGATTAAAGGCTCCTGTAAATGACGCCATTTGGCAAAGTCACGACATCCACAGAAGGACACGTCAAATGCACATACTCTGGTTTGCTCATGTGAACGGCACCAAGAGCAAAATGTCAGAATTAAAGACTTTCACAGAGTGTGCACCAAGCATTACTTGTCAATAGAAGTGTGTGTCAGAGCACAGCCAGGATGACAAGTGGCATTTAAAGGGCCTTTGGTGATAGTAGTGTAATGCAATTTCAACTGCCAGGAGGGTGTAATAAGCCAGTCCTCATC